ATTCTTGCTATATAGCTGGTACCCATTACTAACAAATATTGCTATAAAGCAGCTCTCTGGTGCAGCCACATCATCGGTATGTTGTAGCCGTGGATCGTTGGTCTTGTTCTGATCTGAGCCATGTGATAGCATACGCCATCTCCTGAGTCACAGATCAATTGAGCAGCCTATGTTTAGCGGCTAAGCCAAAGTTAGGAGGATGTATGGACGTACGACCCATCCAATAATCCTCACGGTCGCATGGCCCCCTTCATCCAAGTCTTGCTCTTAAGACATCTAAGAGCAAGTTCTACATAATTGAATATCTTGACTGCAATGGGGGTTACATATTTGAAACTGTTTATGTCATTTTGAAAGTATCAAAATATTTCAGTAGTTTTCATTTGATATCGATATCTATTGCTACGTACAACCTGTTTTTTGCTACTTACTACAGTTGCATATATATCGCAGCTTGCTTGTACGGTTTCAATATGTAATACTCCTCCCTCCGTTTCACGATGTAAGTCATTCTAGCATTTCCCACATTTATATTGATGTTAATAAATCTATATGAATGTAAGAAATGCTAAAATGACTTACATTGTAAAACGGAGGAAGTAATATCTATCTCAGATCTAAAATATAGATGTAATACCCTGCAACAAAATATAGATATGATAATTAATATTATGATTTTTGGAAAGCACTTAATTTCCTATTTAGTCATTATTTGAGTTAGAAATCTATGTATTAAGTCATCTATGAGGTCCTCGAAAAAAAAGTCATCTATAAAGCCCGCAGCAACACAGCGGGGTATCTGCTAGTTGGGTCTGGTGTGAATGCCACGTTTTGAACGTGATGCTAAATGGATTGGTGTTGCAAGGCTGACTTGGCAGGGGGCTGACTTAGCAGGGTTGTGGGGGGCGTTGGGGACTTGCGGTGTATTGACCTCTATTTTGGTCAGAGCACAAGGGACGTGGTCTATGTGACTTTTTTTTGTACCGTATGTGCAATCGTAAGGACGCAGGAAAAAGAAAAGTCTAGAGGTAGCTAAGTCATTTTGCTCGTGCAGATTATGGTTTATCACGGGAACGCTTTGCAAGCTCTTAAATTTAAATTGTCTGACAATTATAGTATAGTAAATGCAATAACTAAATTATTTTGATCATTTTTTTATACATATTCAGTTTCTAAATATACTTATTTTGTATTCAGTTTCTAGACTTATTTTGTCAATATACTTTTCGTAGATTTGTATAAGCATAGTGCTTAATTTTTATTATTCTATTAAAAGTCAATTAATTTTACTATGTGGAAAATTTTGTATTTGGGTTGAGATTTGAGAAGGTGAAGAAAAAAACAAATCCAAATTAGGGGTGCAAATTCAATGAGCAGCATATAGATCAAATGCAAGATTATAATGTAGGCAAATTTTGCTACAGGATATCGCAACTTCGTGGTATTAGCTGTGGGACACCGCACAAAGTAGCTTTTGGGGAAAGACAGTCTCAAAATGTGGTCATTTGCCAATGCACACCGCAGACATTAAAATATTAATTTCTCGTTCAATAGGAGAGATAAACGGTGTAAAAGGTCAAAAATGCTCCTAGGCCCACTTGTCATATTGTTTTCCCACACCTAACTCCCGGCCATATCCTTCGATCACCGCCAGCGACCACCCCGACACCGACGTCGGCAACGGCGCGACCGCACCACCATTACTACTTGTTCTCCAGCAAGCAGCTCAACTCGTTCGGCGCCACGGCCGTGCTTGCCTTCTCCACCACCGTGCCGCTCCTTGCGCTCTACATCCTCGACAGCCTCCGCTTAGGCGACACGGTGGGTGTCACCACGGCGTCCCCGCACGCGTTCCTCCTCGCCGCGCAGATCTTCACCGAGGGCCTCCACGCTGCCGCTGGGTAGGTCGTCGTGCTCCATCTCGGCGTGTATTGGCTTGTGTATTGTGCGTCTATGGTGGGTGTTCTCTCTCTCCCTAGGAGGCCTTGTATTTATAACCATAGATGCCCCATTGTCTAAGTAGAACTAGGGAGTCAAGTATAGATACGATCCGAGTAGTCCTTTTCGTTTCCATATAGAACTTTATTGGTCCTTCCTTATCTGAAACTCCTTCTGTATACGAGGTATGATTCCGTATAAGACTTGGTATATGGTGGGTCCCGTCGAGCTTAGTCGATTACTATTGGGTATGTGGTATCCATAACGCTGACACTATTAGAATATAATCCACTTGTCAAGTCAGAGCAAAGTTTTGTATTATATAGTAGGAAAAACTTATAAGATTACAACATTAGAGGTTGTAACCTGGCAAAAAGAAAAGAAAACAAACATGCCACCACTACCACAACACAGGATGGCAGCTCCACAAAAAACGTGAGAGGGTACTAGCACTAAGCTGATTGCTGCTAAGCTTGACCGATCGCCAATAGACCTAAGGGGGTCATAGGTGCCCCGCCAAACACCGACTCCACACAGAAGAACGTCAACGTACGAGCTCCCGGTTAAACTCATGTACAGGGGTTGAGAAGAGGAAGAGAGCGAGAGAGAAGGAGATCCACTTGGACCTACCTCCAACCTTATGGCAACAACCAAGAAATGTCGATGATTAAACTGAGAGAAGGCGGCAACAGTGAGGAACGAAAGACCTCCTGGGCAATGCCTGTGGGGAGGTGACGCTAGAGGCTCCACCGTCACCCATGAAGGATGAGAAAGTGGTCGCTTGACAATGCCCTAATAGAGGGTCACGTTGCTAGAAGGCATCACCGTTGCTGGCTCAGGGAGATGTCGAGCTAAGCTTTCACCTGCAGAACCCACACCCACACCTATCGTCTCCACCTTAAAGCCTTGTTACCCGATCAATCTCTGCTAGCACATAACTCCGATGCACCAACACCCCAACGCCGGCTAGCTCATTCCCGCCTTCGTCGGGTCTCCACGTGCCAAAGTCGCCTCCCGCACCCATCGGTGTAGCTCACCACCGACAACTGCTTATCCTGCAATCCATGCCACGACCACCAGCCTCCATTGACTCACCCGCAATGGTCGCCTACAGCTGCCGGTCGTGCTGGCCTCCTTGCTGTCTCCAATGTAGTCCTCTTGTCGCGCCGGCTGTGTTAGCCTCCCGGCCGTTGCCCGTACCCTCACTGGCCGCTAGTGGCTATCACCACGCGGGCCTTCAGATACGGTGCGGAGGTGCTAGATACGGATGCGAGGACTCCAGATCTAGTCATGGCGACACCGACCACTAGCTACCGTCCCTAGGGCCATCTGCGGGAGCGCTAGAAGGTGTCGGATCCACCGCCTGCACCGCCCTTTCTTCGTGCTGCGTGCCACACTGTCTCCGCGTGCGCCAGCATGCCGCCTTCTTCGGTGAGCACACCATTGCGCGGTGTTTCCCCCAAGCCGTGAGGTGGATGAGAGGAGAGAGACGAGCGGTGGCGGCACCTAGGGTTTTCCCCCGAGCTACCATTGGGATGTAAATAATTATATCCATATATGTAGATATACGAGAAATGAATTTATATTTAGAATAGAGTTACATAATTTGAGTTGGTCACCAGGATTCTATGTTTGCACTGTGGGGTGTCGAACTAGAAAAATGATACGTTTTGATTAGTGTTCTTCTCTATGCAAACGATGAGTTCAACTCCCCCGTCTTATAATATAGCAACATAATACTGGATGAAATATATCCTAATATACTACGAATCTAGAAAGAGAGATGCATATCATCTAGTACTAGCATGAGACAGAGGGAGTATATAATTATAAGAGCTTGTCCCAGCTCATATCGTTGTAATTGAAGCCTGGGAGAGTTCGCGTCTATCCTAATTCATTTTTTAATTGTAATTAATTGGCTATGTGCACCGTGAACTTAGTGCAAAGGTCGGAAATATATGCTTTCTATAAAGTTTATTAAGTCTAAAACTCAACATGCAACCATACCACATCACCCACTAGCAATAATTACATATTTAATCACATGTAAGTATACAACATGATCTATATTTTATTTAATTCTACAAACCAAAATGCAAGCATATCCAATCATCACCCCTCATATCATCATTTACACAATATTTTAACAAACATATCTATCACTTTTATAATATTTAACATATAGTTATCAATATGTTTCACACTAAAGCACAGGTATCATTTGACTGATAAACCCTGATGTTTCTCTTTTATTTCTTTTTACTCCTAGCTTGATTGTAATATATATATATATATATATGTATATATATATATATATGTATATATATATATATATATATATACATATATATATATATATATTGAATCGCTTAGAAATTCCCGCAGCAAAGCGCGGAGAATCACCTAGTGTGTGTATATATAAATATACACTTCCTATTGTTTTAAAAAACATGCATGTGACGAATGCTAGCAAATCTGAAAACGGCGTCCCATTTTTCTTCAACTCGATCGACTCTAGTAGATCCCAGTTAACTTTTCGCGTTCCCATATGTAGATAAGTATATATATGACCAAATTCGTGTATTACTGATAATATACTTTGATCATTCTAGATCAGGAACACAAATTTCAACACACGGTCCCGGCCCCTTTGCACCTACCAGTCAACAAGCAGTACCAGGTCTTCACCCTGGCTGTCTCTTATCGAGTGATCAATTAATCCTAGCTAGTCCCATGTAGCTCAGTCGAAACTTCATAATTCAGCTGAGGTAGATGAACTCATATTCGTCAAAGGCAAATTTCTTGCGTTCCAGGTAATCTAATAAAGACCAGGTGATCTTCTTTGTGGTTGAATCGTGACAAGTCGACTGCCGCCAGTGGTCGATCGTAACAGTCAACTCTAGGACAGGTGTTTCGTTGCCTAGCATAGTGATGAACTTACTATGTCATATAAACAGAAGATTTAGTACGTAGCTGGTGACGACAACCATATATATCTTGAAGAAAAATCTCAAACACGACGTAGAAATTAACACACGGCGATCGAGTATATTTGGGCAGCAATAACTATAAATAGAAAGCCCCACCTCCAAATGAGATGCAGACACACATCTCAAGGCATTGTGCACGTAGACACGAGTGAGCTGTTTAATTGAGACTTCGTGCAGTCGTGCTCCTATCTTCTCATTAGGATTTAACTTAATCTGATCAGAAGATAGTATATGCACACGTGAGTGAGTTTGGCGGTTAAAGTGCGGTGACAGTCTGAGAGTGCGTGCGTGTAGTTTTCAAAAGAAAAAAAAAGTGCGTGTTTCCTAGTTGAACTCGTAATAGAATAGGAGTAGTAAACTAAGGATACGTGGCACTGATGGAAGGCAGCCGCGGTGACAAGGGCAAGGTAGTGGTGGTGATGGGCGCCACGGCCACCGGCAAGTCCAAGCTGGCCATCGACCTCGCATTGCGGTTCGGCGGCGAGGTGATCAACTCCGACAAGATCCAGGTGCACGACGGCCTCGACGTCGTCACCAACAAGGTCACCGACGAGGAGCGCGCCGGCGTGCCGCACCACCTCATCGGCGGGGTGCCCCCCGACGCCGACTACGGCGTCGACGACTTCCGCCGCGACGCCGCGCGCGCCGTGGCGTCCGTCCTCGCCAGGGGCCGCGTCCCCGTCATCGCGGGCGGGTCGAACAGGTACCTCGAAGCGCTGCTCGACGGCGAGGGTGGGTCGTTCCGCGAGCGGCACGAGCTGTGCTTCCTGTGGGTGGACTCCCGCGCGCCGGCGCTGCACAGGTACGTGCGCCACCGCGTGGACCGCATGGTGGAGCAGGGGCTCGTCGGCGAGGTGCGGGGGCTGTTCCGGCTGGACGACGCCGACTACTCCCGGGGGATCCGGAGGTCCATCGGCGTGCCGGAGATGGACGCCTACCTCCGGCAGGAAGCCACCGGCGCCCTACTGACGCACGGAGACAAGTACAAGGTCGCGCTGTTGGCTTCCGCCGTCGGCGAGATCAAGGCGAACACGTGGAGTCTGGCACGCCGCCAGCTGCGGAAGATCCACCGGCTCCGCGGCCTGCCCGGCTGGAGCCTCCGCCGGCTCGACGTCACCAGAGTGCTGGAGTTGAAGGTGGAGGCCCGCAGCGAAGCGGAGTGCGCCGCCGCGTGGGAGGCAGACGTCATCGCGCCTGCGGCGCGGGAGGTGGGGATGTTTCTGCATGGAGGAGGGAATGTGGTGGAGAGCGGTAGGGAGGAGCAGCCGGTGGTGGTAGAGAAGATGGAGGTTGCGGCAGTGGGTGGTGCCGGTGCGGCGGCGGCCGCGGAGAAGTGGTGTGGTCGGCGGTTGCTGGAGACGACGGCGGCGTACCATGGAATGGAGGCGGCCGCGGCAGTTTGACCAGTTAATAACGTCGGAAGAGTAGTACATATATATTCATGACGTTTCATGGTTTGGTTTGGTTAGGTTAGCTGGCGATTATTTTATTAATTAATTGTTTCATTTTTTAATAATTGTTGTATCCATTTAATAAACTCAACCTGAAGGTTGATTTTCGGAATGTAAGTTTGCGTCACCTCTTCTCAATATACTGGAGAATGTCAGCTCATTTTTTTCATCAAACTCAAACAATTATAAAAAAATCACTACCGTAGAAAGGCAACAAGTGCCGGTTGGGAAACCCTAATTGGTGCTGGTTTTTCCAATCGGCACCACGGAAGCAGTATGGATGACACTGGTCATCGGTGCCACCAAAAACCGGCACCTATATAGTCCTAATAGGTGCCGGTTCTAAGCCAAAAAGACACGTGGCTACTAAATTGGTGCCGGACCTAGCTAATAGGTGCCGATTCTAATGTAAAGAGACACGTGGCTGCCAAATAGCTGCCGTCTGGTAATGAAAAATCGGCACCTATATGTTGGGTAAAAAAAATAAATATTGCAGGAAATTCATCCATACAACCCTAATTCCATACGACCCCAATTTCATCCCTAAGTCAAAATTCACCAAGTCTAAAAACTCATGGGTCCAAAAATTCCTATCTTTAAATCCTAAACATTTCAATATATATTCTAACTCAAAATATGCTAAGTTTAAATTTCCTAAATCAAAAGATTGTAAGTCTAAAATTTTTGAAGTCTAAAAGTTGTGGGCTGCGGCCTGCTAACTTGTCAAGGCCTAGCTCGTTAAGGCTCGCGAGCAGCTCGAGCTGGCTCGTTATCTCTAACGAGCTAAAATCCTAGCCCGGCTTGTTAGAAAAATGAAGCCGAGCCGGGCTTGTCACGAGCCGAGCGAGCTAACGAGCCACGAGCTTCCTGTCCACCCCTACTTACATCCATTGTAAACTAGAGTTTTGGAGTCCTTCACCATGGTTGTGATCTTGCGATATTCCCTATTATCAGTGCCAAACCTCTCCCCATCGCGCAGCATCTGATCTAGAATAGGTTCACCATGATCGACACACGTTTGGTCCTCCTCCTCCTCGCAGCCGTCATTTGCATCATGCCCGTGATAGTTGCCGGCACTTCCCTCACCTTGCTCCTCCTCGCCAAGGAAGTTGCCCACAAAACCCCTTGTAAGAAGATGTGCATGGACCTGTTGAGCCGAAAGTTGTCTGTCTTTTTTGCAATCATGACATGGACACCAAATTTATTCCAGTGCATCAACTAAGTTTGTGCTGGTGGCCACGGCAACGAGAGCCACGATCCGCTGTAGTTATCCATTCCAGATCCATTACATTCAATGGGTACCTGCGATTATTATCGTTTATTACAAACCGTGAAGGAAAAAACAATGAAGATTTCATAATTTACAATTACATTAGAATAAAAACAATGAGGAATGACCATTTTATCCTATGATAAAATTGAGATTTTTGTACACACCCACGTCACAATACTTAGATATTCATGGCTAACGAAAATATAAAAAAATTTCTATTTTTCGTCAATGCGAAAAAATATTTGGCTAATGTGAAACACTAACGACGATGGCATAGATGGAATAAAACATTAATTCAAATTTAGCATAACATCCGAGAACAGATCTACGAATGACTGATGGATCCATACAAATGACTAGTGCATTTTACATGTATTACCACATGGCAATTCAATTCAACGAGAAAATGTGAATCGGGGTGAGAAATAATGAATATTTACCTTGTAGGCTTCAATCTTCAACTAAAACCCAAGAAAAATCGAGCAAAACCGCTTCCACCTCCTCTAGCCGATCGATGGGCACCCTAAGATAAATTTGAGATAAATCAAGCTGTCAATGGACATTTCCGTGGCCTTAAAATAGTTTGACTAGCATTAATTTGACTAACGACCATGACATAGATGGAAGAAAACATTAACGCAAATTTAGAATTTCATCCAACAATAGATTTAATGAGATTAATCGAGTGGCAAGGGAGGGAATACATGTACTGCTGTTGGAATAAAGGTGCTGGTTCAAAACCCAAAACCGGCACCTTAATTTCTCTTGTCAACCGGCACCTATGTGTGGGGCCCACCAACGGCTAATACATGTACTGACAAGCATTGTTGGAACATAGGTGCCGGTTCTAGACCCAAAATTGGCACCTTTGTCTTAAAATCGGCACCTATGTGTGGGGCCCAGCGACGTCTAATTTGGGAGGGAGAAGATTAAAGGTGACGGTTTGACGGTTTTTTACTATGAACCGACACCTTTCTCTGACACAGATTTTAGGTGTCAGTTTTATTTAAAAACCAGCACCTATTGTACATAAAGGTGCCATTTTTTGAAAATTTGGCACGTGGGAGCAGGTGCATAGGCACGAAAGGTATTATAGGTGCCAGCTTTACCTACTCCGGCACCTATAGTGCCGACACCGTAAATAATACGATTGACTAATGTAAGATATACCGGAGAATGTAAGTCTCCCGTAACTTTTTTTATACAACCTTCCTTACCGAGCTCTAGCTGGTAACCTTCCAGATTGCTTAATAATGTTGTGGTCAGAGTAAAGCCATAGACGCAAAACCTGTATCTGGTCTAGACAAGAGAAAGTACAAGTCTATAATCTCTCTAATACTGTCACGCCCAGAAATTTAGCCCAAATTTCCAGACTATTTTGTGTATTAAATCCCTGTCCAGGACCAGCCAGGGTACACAAAACGACAAGTAATAAACAGTTCCAAACGTAAATAAAGCGTAAAATACTTACAGAAGAGGCACTTAGTCCTCACACCGAAACAAAAGCAGCAACAGCGGAAAAAGGCGATCCTAGCGGGGCTTCAGCTCCACTCCACAGGCAAAACTCAACTGGGGTCTGAGCCTTGGTCTTCTAACTTCGTCTTCAGCTCAGAAGCACTACACTTCTGAAAAGGGGGAATAATAGCAAGGCTGAGTACAACCACCGTACTCAGCAAGCCACACCAATGATGCAGACGTGCAAGGGGATACAGGGATGGTTTGTGGCTATTTGCATAAAGGCGGTTGTAAAACATTTTATTGAGCAAAACAGTAAAACTGTTGAGTAATTAAAGTAACATTAAAATCTCCACTGATCAACGCTACACCACGTTGAACAGGCCCAACCAACCCACCTGGACTACAGTGCATTGGGTCGATTTATTAAGGTGGGACTAATCACGGTGAATCTGGTCGATCGCCCATAACCGCGGGCACGGCTATTCGAATAGTTTTACTCTGGCCAGAGGTGCACAACTGTACCCACAAGACACAACCCACCGACATGTCACCGCGTCATCATGTGCCCATGATGCACACATCACCATGTCGAGTGATTGTGACGAGACCCTTCGCATAACCCTCCCCTAACCATCCACACCACGCTAAGGTTTCACCCCCACCCCTCAAAAGGCAGTGGGCGGTCCCCTCTTGCGCCGCGGTGAATCCGGCAGCTGGACAACCGGACACCCCGGCCGACCCAACTCCATCACGCCCACCCTCGCCACCGGTGCCTAGGAAAGGGTCGAGCTATACTTCAGATCAAGCAGTTACCCATTCCCGCTTGTGGTAAGCACTGTAAGTCTTCCAGGGTTTCCCGTGAACCGGTCCTTAATTGCCATGGGTGCGACTCACAAAACCATGCACCCACAGCCCACCATTCAGTCGCATTTTAGTTGGATAAGCACGACCATAAAACATGGCCAAAAGTCTCGAGCACGCGGCTCAACAAGATACTAGAATGTCTAAAACTGCAATTATCCCATCGACTGATCTAGTGGTAATTAAGCATGGCTAAGCATAAAGTTCTAGCTAGGTCACATAAGTAACACAAGCTAGTCGATTTATTACCCAGGGTTGACAAAGGATAGATATCAAGTAAACATGGCACAAGCGAGCAGATAGGTAAACCCTGATCCCATGTAATTAGCAAAACATGCATATTTATTTGTAAACGGTAAAACATTTATAAATTGGGATCAACATGCTCAAGGGGAATGTGTGACTTGCCTTGCTTCCTCACTTTGATCTTCTAAACTCTTTTCCTCGCGACCGCGATCTTCCGAAACGACGGATTCTACACGCTGGCACGCAAAACGAGGAAAAACCCTAATAAAAACCAAGGAAACAGTACATAAAAAGTAAACAAACATGTAGAGCTTAATTTTAGATGAATTTTGAAATTTGAATGGCTCAATTCGGAGTTCGAATGAATTAGATATGAATTTTAGAAGTTTTGAGCCATTTTAATGAATTTCTAGAATTAAACTCGATTTATTGCGCAATTATTATTTATTTTTACAAAGGAAACGGACCTCGCTGACGTCAGCAAAGGGGAGGGGCGGCGCCGGCAAGCGGGCCCCACACGTCAGCGAGTCAAAGGGGGAGGGCGCACGGTGGACCAAGTCCACACGTGGCCTCGGGGGCACGTCCACCACGTGGACGGCCCAGATCGGCCCGAGCCGATCGGGCGGCCGAGGGGAGCGGCGGCCAGGGGCACAGCACGGCACAAGGCCGGCCTGGTCGAGCGATAGCGCGCGGCGGCGTGCGGCCAGACGACCGCCGGCGACAGCGGCGCGTCGCGGCAGCGGGCACGGGGAGCGGCGGAGGAGGGAAAAAGGAGAAGGGACGGTGGGGATTCTCACCGAGGACGGCGACGGTGAGACGACCACAGGGAGGCGGCTGGCGGCGGAAAGGATGGCGGCGACTGGCACGAGAGGCGGCGGGAACGGCGTTCCGGCGACACCCGACCATGGCGGAGACGCGGCCGAGGGCCGGCGGGGCCCTCGAGATGACGAAGCCGGAGGAGGTGGCGGCACAAGTCGGCGTCGACCGGAGAGGCGGCGCGACGCGGCTAGACTCGGCGGTGGCGGCGGAGAGAGATGGTGAACGCGGCGGCGGCGTTCCAGGGGCAGGGAGGGGAAACGGAGTAGGGGCCGGGGTGCGGCGAGGAACGGCGATGCCGATGGCGGTGGTAGCGCAGCGCGGCAGCGACGGGAGCGGTGGTGGCGCGCGACTGGAGGTGACGAGAGGCAGCTGTGGCTCGGGTGCACGGTGGATGTGGTGTTTCGGCGGAGTTTTGTGGAAACGGAGCGGTGGCCGGTGTGCGGCAAAGAGCGGCGGAGCCGACGGTGCAAGCGGCGCGGCGCGGCGGCGACTAACGCGGCGGGAAACGGCGACCGGAGTTTGCCGAAGTGTGGCAGCGCGTGGGTGCGGCGTGGGGAGAGCGAGGGAGAGTATGCCGGGCTCGGGAAAAAAGGGGAAACGGACGAGGGGAGCACGGGGATGCTTTTTATGGGCTCGGGAAGGCGGGATCGAGGCCGGACGTGGCGGATTTGAAGCGACAACGGCCGGCGACGTGGGCGACATCGTGGGCGAAGTAGGGCTCGATTTGGCGCCAAAAATTGGGGAAAAGTGGGGGATTTGGTGGAGGAGGTGGAGGGGATCGTGCCCACGTCGTTGGATGCGAGCTCGGGTGCGGGAGGGCGCCGTATTTTGCGGCGACGTGGACGGCAATGGCGGTTGGGGTCGGCCGGCGAGAGGTAGGAGGAGGAGCTGACGGGTGGGACCGCCGGTCCCACCTGTCGGCGAAGGGAGAGAAGGAGGGACGCAAAGCAGACTTTTGCGAGCGGGCCAAGGGAGAAGGCCGGCCCGAGAGGGAGAGAGGGGGGGGGGAATTGGGCCGAAAGGGGCCCAAAGAGAGGAGGGAGGATTTTATTTGTTTTCTTTTTATTTTAATTGGTTAAATGATCTTCGTGACTTTAAAACTATTTCTCGAGCTCCGAAAATTCACGGAAAATTCCGGAGAGTACATTAGGGCACAAAGAATATTACAAAATATTCCCGGCCATTGATTTTTAAGGGAAAATTTCAAATTCTCCCATTATTTTACTTGATTAAATTGATTTATCTTTTATTTAATTTCTAGAAAATGTATTATTAATTGATTTTTATTCCCGAACGAAAATCGGGGCGTTACAGCACAGGGTACACATTTTTTATTATGTGTTCTATATGCATTTACTCATTGAGAATTAGTGCCTTCAACCCATTCTACTCCCCTCTCATGTTACTTGCCCCGTCATAACCTTGCCCTCTTATGTCTTGTAAAAAGTTAATGTCAGACAAGACAGCACAAATTGAGTTCTTAAGAGTCAGTGAAGAAGTGTCCTTATAAGTCCTTTGTTGACAAACCGAAGAACTATTGCCATCTGCTCTTTTTTAGATTTATCTCGAGCTTCATCAACCATTATGCAATACTTGCTATTACCAATTTCTTCTCTAACTGATTTTTGCACTTTTTGAGCAATTATGCTTAGGATTTCTTTTTGGACATCGGATGATGTATACTTTTCATTTCTTGGAGAATTTTCTAGCACAACTTCTCGCACATCTTTGCTATATGAAGCCAAAAGCTTAACCATTTCGAGAAAATTATCTCGATTTAACGAATTTAGAGATTCATTATGGCCTCTAAATGGACACCCTTGAAATGTTAACCACCTACAAGGACATAATCAGCACACAAACACAAGGCTATTAGATATTATAATAGTATAGCCTGTAGAGTTTAGATGTAAATAATGTGCAAAAAAAAAAAAGAACAACTCATATAATTATCTAATGGATTCAATGGTAGTCGTAAGCCTTAGTCTTGCTCCTTCCACCAATATATCATTCTGCTTAACCATCACCTCGTCAATGTGAGCCATAAAGTTTTTTATATTATTGTAACAACCAACTCAAAAGTTATGAGCAGAAGTGGCATTCCCCATGTGTTTCACAAAAGCACATTCTTTTCCATCATTAACTTTCTTCCATTTTGAAACTCCTTCACTGTGAAAGTAACTAAGCCGAACTTGCCAACTGGTTCTTTGAAAAGAGAAAACATGGCAGGCAATAAGCACGGTCTGTGTGTGGTGAATACTCTAGCCAACTAAATTGTTTAAACCAATTACTTTGGAATCGACGAGCATGGAATGCACCATTCAGTGGGTACTCTTCCAAGATAAATTGGTATGGCCCCTCAGATATATAAAATCTCCTACCATCATCTCGTTGGTCAGCAGGGAGTGTTGGGATACGCATAAGCTACGATAGCATAAATCAAAATTTTCTACCACGTAAACTAGGAACCATGCAAGTATTAGATAGATCGTTACCACTCGACGCGCTGCGCAGCGAAAGAAAGCGCTAAGAAGGCGAAGGAACCTCGCGATGTAGCGTACGTCGATGTAGAGGAAATAGTCGATCTCACTGGCTCGACCTTCTCCTCCTCGTGCGTTCTCCTCGCCGTACTCCTACGCCGATCAGCACCGCAAACCAGCGGCCCCTCTACCGGTATCCACATGTACAGGGATGGAACGCCACGCGCAGATGTGCTAGCACCCGCGCGCGGCTAGGGTTTTGCTCGGGGAGGGGAGTGGCGGCTAGGGTTTCTCACGTGATGCAATACCTTCGCCGGTCACACCCCTCACGAATATATAGGATCCATGACTCAGGTCTCCAAGACCCGTAGGACTCCTATTCGGATCCCTAACCGAATTAAGCTCATTTTGGATCTCCATCCAATCCCCTTATTCCGGCCCATTAAGCGTGCGACCCTGTAGGTTCATGTACACTCGGCTGTAACCCGAAAACTCCTTTTCGATCCACGTGTCAACAGCGGCCCCTAGCAGAACGTATTGACCCACCAGGCATACATAAAGATCATATCGGCTAAACCTCTAGTGTATACTTGTATGAACCCCTTTGCCTCACGATATCGGTTAAGCTCAAGGCTAGATATGTGTCATCCTCTAATAACTCAATAATTCACTTGAACCTGTGATAGATTATATAACTTGTGATTGACTCCTCAATCACCTTTGGCATGGCCATACGCTTCCATAATCTATAGCATCGAGGAGCCCAGAGATATCTCTCCATAGGAGGGGCAAATCCCATCTTGATTATTCATATCCCACTACATGTTTCGTAGCATACCCGAAAAATACTTTTATAACTACCCAATTACGGAGTAGCGTTTAGCAATCCCTAAGTAAGCTACTACACATGTTGAGAACCATGATAATCACAGGTCTAATAATTAAACACCAACACTAAATGAGATCACTGATGACACAACACATATAGCCCTTGCAGTGTCTCATGTTGGGTCTATCCAACAACATGTTCCCCAACATGTGTCTACATTATTAATTTGGTATCTCTATATCATGATCCATGAGACATGATCATCAATTAATACATGTGCTGATCATTTAAACATATTTGTTCCACATACGATATTTGATCAGGGATTCTTTAGAAATAGTAACAATCAACATAAAGAGTCTCATGAAAGAATCACATATTCATTAACCAATAATGAGTTATCTATTTCAAGAAATAATATTGGATAAATATGTAAACATATTATGTGATACAATCTTCTCAATGATTACCTCTAAGGCATATCACTAATAGGGAGTGCGGAGATTTGAACATGTTTACCTGGGTCCCTTTCAAATGCCGTAGTTACAATTCCTTGTTCAGCTCTAAAGGTTCAGCACTGTTCTGATTAGGAGATTGCAGATTAACCGGATCAACAGCTTCCACATTAGTTGGGTTAGGATTTTTCAACAGAGCCTGCCCTTGGAGCCACTGGCTTGTAAAAGCAATCAATCGTTGTTATCTTCCTCTTCATCTTAGCTAAACACCTAGCAATTTTGATGTAGCTGAAAATATAAATAAAGGAAAATCACAAAATTGATTATTGATTCTGCTTTACCGGATCAAGGTTAGTAAAACTAGAGAATATAGAGTGGATTTACAGGGTATTTACAGTGTTCGATTTGGGGATAACTTACCAAAAAGCAGCAGCCAACAGATAGGTGGAACCTGGTCCGTGAGCTCAGAAGATGTGCGCATGTTCTGCAGACCACCTCTGTTGGATTGCTTGCTCCTAGCTCCTGCTTGGTGCCTCGAGCAGCCACTCTATCGGCGGCTGGCCGCGTCGCCACGAGACTGCAATCGGCTGATCGCCGATTAGCGCCGGACGGGACGAGGGAGACCGGAAACGATGCGTCGGTGCTGCGTGCTTGAGAAACTGAAGGCCGGCCCCTAGCGATCGCCCGTTAGCCATCTCGCAAGCGATGGGACTTCACGACGAAGCCGAGGTATCGCTTGACTCTCTCCCGTATATCGAGACTCCAAGTGCTAATGGGCTGGGCAGCTGCGCAGATGGCCAGATGGGCTTTGTCGGGGGTGGGGAATCGTTCATGGGCCATTGGGGGGTGCCAGGCCCAGTTCGGCACCCCCTATAGCTTCGACACTGCTACCGGCAATGGTCGAGTGCACCGTCGCCGGCCATGTCGGACGACGAGAAGGTCCTATCCTCGCCTCCTGCTCCACTAACGCTGCCATCTGCTGTCGGTCCGCCGCTGCGGCCGACGGGGCGGATGACCTTGTTTCCCACAGCGGCATGCGGCACAACTTAAAACTACTGGCCCTCACCGGCTCACCGCTTGCGGCTCACCTCCAGCTAAGGTTGTCCATGATCTGCGCCCGCTCTTTCCTCCTCCCCACTGGCGACACCAATGGCGAAGAAGAGGGGGGCAACAATGTCTTTTGTTAAATTCTCTCTCCAGCTCTAATGAAAGTAATAGTTTAATGGTTCTATTGTTTTGCCGTAAATTATCATATTTTTAAAGTGTTTTTGAGCAAATTAACGTTCTTAATATGTCTACCAGTAAATATCATATTTTTTTAATATCCTGTAGCAAATTTTGTTAAATAATTATTCTAATTCTACTATGTTAAAGAATAAGCTTGTTTGTTTAGGGTAATTTTTTACCAAGCCAAAATTTTATCAACTTTAATAATGTCGCATGTATATTTAATTTGCTACTCTATTTTTCTCACAGTAGTTCAAATTCTATACTTAAATTTGATATTGATAGCGCCAAAATTTATTGACGACACTAACAAAATTTTGATAAAATAAAAATGAACTCTATTCCAAACGAGCTCAATAATTCATATGGATGCGAGTCTTACGCCACCGTGAAATATCCTACTCTACCTTTGTGCGCCCCAACCAGCCGCTGTCCACTCGGCCGTCAACGACGACGTCGTCATGCGCGAGAGCGAAGCGCACGAGCGCTGACCCTGCCGCGCTGCCGCAGCCAACACGCCACGCCAGGAGCTTAGCACTGAGCGCGCACAAGAGATTGGCTGGCATGAATTAGACACGGCTTCCAGTTCCAAATCCGAAGGAAAAACACAGCACTGCACGCCCCCCGCCCCAGCTTGATGATCGATTAATTGTCGGCAGCTCATCTTTCCTTGTCACATATCGCAAGAGAAGTCATAGATGCACTAGTCATATATAGTACGGCTCCCCGGGACCCGGCCACGGCAGGCTTAGCTGTGCTGTGTGACCCAGCGAGCTTCGCCGGCCGGCGCCTCTCCATCTCCGGTCCAGTTTGAGCTCCATGTCAGAATTCACAGTACTGCAGTGGACCTAAACGCGCTCGATCAATCGCCGTCTAATTAGGCCTTGTTTAGTTTAGAAAAATTATAGGTTTAGTTGTCACGTCGAATATATCACTGGTGGAGAAATGCTTTCTAGTCCCGGTTCATAACCCCCTGTAGTCCCGGTTTTTCAACCGGGACTATGAATCCGGGACTAAAGATCGCTATCTTTAGTCCCGGTTCAAATAACTGAGACTAAAAATCAATCTTTAGTCCCGGTTGGTGTTACCAACCGAGACTAAAGATGGGAGCATCTTTAGTCCCGGTTGATAACACCAACCGAGACGAAAGATATTTTTTCTTTTTTTTCTGCTTTTAATATTGAATATTGATTTCACACAATCCCATCCCATATCCAAATCATCACATATTACAGAACATCTCCAAATCCTCACACAAATCATCTCCAAATATATCACAAACTCTTAAAAAAATTACATCACAGGATTCTAAAAAATTCATCACAGATTCACATCTCACACAAAAATACATCACAGATTCACATCTCAAAAAAAAAAGAAAAAAAATCCGGCCGGCGGCCACTGCCGCCTCCCCTCCGCGCCGGCCGGCCGGCGCCGCGCCGGTCGCCGCCGAGCGGCCGCCCACCGCAGCCGCCGCCTCCGCGCGGCCCCCGGCGCCGCCGCGCCGGCCGCGCACCGCTGCCGCCGCGCGGCCCCCCGCGCCGCCGCCGCCACGCGGCCTCCCACGCCGCCGCGCCGGCCGGCCGCCGCCGCCGCCGCGCAGGCCGCCTCCGCGCGGCCCTCCGGACGGGCAGCCGCCGCCGCCGGGCCCTCCGCGCGGGGCAGCCGCCGCTGCCGGCCGCCAGCGCCTCTACCACCTGCCTCCGCGCCGGCCGGCGCTTGCCGCCGCCGGCCCTCCACGCCGGCCGCCGCCCGCTGCTGCCAGGAAGACAGGGGAGAGAGGAAGGAGAGGAGGAGAAGGAGGAAGAGGAGAAGGAGTGAGGAGGAGAACGAGTGGAGGGGAAGAAAAGCTAAGGATAAGACTGAGGAGCAGGGTCAGACAATGGACACGCGAAGAGATAAACATCGCGCTCGGCTTGGGGTGATTTTTAGTCCCGGTTGTTTATACCAACCGGGACTAAAAATAATTGGGGCCTGACACGACCTGACAACCTCTTCAACCGGGAGTAAAAATGATCTTTAGTCCCGGTTGGTGTTACCAACCGGGACTAAAGATCAAAAAATACCCCTAAGCTTTTAAACCGGGACTAAAGATGCTTTTTAGTCCCGGTTTTTATTGGAACCGGGACTATTGTGGAATTGGGCCGACCGACCAAAGATGGTTTCTCCACCAGTGTATGGACATATATTTAAAGTATTAAACGTAGTCTACTAATAAAATAAATTACATATTCCGTCAGGAAACTGCGAGATAAATTTATTAACACTAATTAATTCATCATTAGTAAATGTTTACTGTAGCACCACATTGACAAATCATGGTGCAATTAGGCTTAAATGATTCGTCCCGTAATTTACACGCAATCAGTATAATTGATTTTTTTCCTAAATTTAATACTCCATTCATGTGTCTAAACATTCGATGTAACAGCGTGAAAATTTTTATTTTGTGAACTAAACAGGCCGTTAGATTATATAGATTAAATATCGTTTTTGGACGATTGAGATTAAATATCGTCTGTGATGCCATATTTTCAGGTACATCTCTCAACATGTGTCTTATTAAGTAGCTTTGAAAATTCATACACTATGTTAGCGCTGAAATGTCCAAAATTTTTCATGTGAAATGTGCATTATCCTTTGAAGTAGTCACTATATAAGGAGAACTGATGCGGAAAACTATTTATTAGCTTCCCGATTTCCTTAAAAAAATTGCAAAACAACCCCAAAAAAAGTCAATCAGAAGAACAACGACAAATAACAATAGGCTCCACATAAGGGAGACTTAATTGCCAATCGATCAAGGTGAAAAAGGTGACTGAAATACGAGGGGGGGGGGTATGACACTACTATTTTTTAGCAAAATTGTTTGAAGAAATACTGGTCTCTCCAGAAAATCGGTTACTGCTATTATTGGGGAAAAAAATCAAATTATTAATTTTAAAAACCTGTAACTAGCCACCACTGCTAATAACGAGTTGTTAACCGGTTCTTGAGTTTATTTTGGATCCAAACTATTAATATAGCTAATGTGTAACTATTCATAATATGGCATATAGAACACATACATATACATGCATACATTGCTTATGAAACACGTTTTTACGAGCGGCCAGACGTCCTATGTGCGATCAAAGAGATGCGAAAATCATCAACTTTAGCAGGTAGATCCACGTTCGTTTGCGAAAACCGATTTTTCTTGCTAGCACCCCTAAGTGACCCCCCTGCAAAAAGAATTTTGGAAAAAAAAACATTCACATCATACATGCTTTGATTTAAATCCACATCTATGCATCAATTCAGATCTACATCTAAAGAGCGCATCAGATACAAATCTACAGGCAATAGAACATGCAAAAAAAAAAAACAACATCAATGGCAGATAGATGTCATCGTAGCAGCCAGAAACAGCGCGCTGCTGGCTGTTGTCGTCACTGCGTCGTCGCAGGATCCACCTCTTCCAAGTGCGTCCTCACAGGATTTGTCTTCGCCTCCGCCTCTCTTGACAACCACCACAGTGTGCTCCTCGACAAGCTTCTCCTGTAGGTGCAAACGTTCGATATGACAAGGTGAAAAATTTTAGAATAGGATCTAAACAGGACTATAGTGTTTATACATGACATACAAGTATGTAAACTATTTGATAGCTTCTGGGTTAGGGATGGCCTAATCCCTCGTGGATATAGACAGAGGGTTAATGAAAATCTATTTAAAAAAAAAGTTGTTGTAACGAAAAGAAAAAAATCTCTCGCAAGATACGCTGATGATCATGTACTACTACTGTACCTTTTGTTGGTTTGAAATTCTGCTGAGAACTAGGGGACAAAAATCAGCACTAGCGTGCTAGCGTTATCCTAGGTCGTTTTCGCGATGAATTCAATTCAATTCGGTCGGTGGAGCGGCCAATTTCGTAACCTGCATCTGTGCCGACCTATTTGTCCATCAAGTAACTTGAATTCGATAAATAGCACGCTATCAAGGAACTTGAACTCGATAGATATCGATCGTGCTAGGCTAGTTAACTACTCGCAGATGTTCTGAACATGTCAACAACATTTTAATAACCCCTAAAATACATATATATAGTAGCATTTCGAAATATGTTTTTTATATCTTTTATCTAAAGTTAGCGTTTAGTGTGCGACCTGTGCTAACTCATACCTCTTAGCCTTTTAGCATGTGTGATTTAAAAAAGATAGGATGTGTTTGGATGAGGCGAACCTATTTTATAAGATGTTTACTTAAAAATAGATGGGTTGAGATTACCTTCGAAGGGAATTATTTTTTTTAAGATTTGGGTTAGCTTTACGTGAAAAAAGTGGCGAACCAATCAAAACCACTTTCCCGCTCTCGCTGACATACGAGTCACGCCATCCCTTTTCTAAAAAAAAAGTGATCATTTATAATCTCTTAAATAACAAAACAAATAGCTAGAACCATCCTATCTAAAACTAGAGATAAACCTAACCCATCCCACCTTATATAAAACCTAAAACACGCTTAGCTATAACCTATTAGCCGTATACACCAAGTGCAGATGCCAGAAATATAGTCCAGGGACTAAACTTTAGTACCTATCATATCGGAAGTTTGGACACTAATTTAGAGTATTAAACATAGACTATTTACAAAACTAATTACATAAATGAGAGCTAATCTGCGAGACAAATTTTCTAAGTTTAATTAATTCATAATTAGATAATGTTTACTGTAGCATTACATAGGCTAATCATGGATTAATTAGGCTCAATAGATATATCTTGCGAATTAGTCCAGGATTATGGAATGGGTTTTATCATTAGTCTACGTTTAATACTTCTAAATAGTGTCCGAACATCCGATGTGACAGGGGCTAGCCCCATCCAAACAGGGCCACTTGTTACTATTTTTTTTGCTACATCAACAGAACATACATAAAGCCAAGAACATCTCTTGATTTTTGTCTAGTTAACAAATTTTTCATGTTAACAGAATCTTCTTCTGTGCTCTTTCAGACGCAGTGAACCAGCCAGCAGCTAGAAAAGAAAGCTTGATTCTTTCGATCTCTATTTTTCGTATATAGGAAAAAATGGTTGCGTTTCTTTTGTTCCTTTTGTTCCTTTGGGCAAGTCAAGTCATCCACTTTCCTAACTCACCAACCCAACAATCTTAGCTTAAAGATTCAACTACGCACAAACAGAGCCCCAAAAGGAGGAAGAATTACTTCTCCAAACATACTTCACAAGTTACGCTATTTTCTCCCCTCATAGTTGCTTCATGTCAAAAGAAATCGAACAGTGTACAATCTTCTAGAGCAATTTCTTCTTCAACTTTGCTAATCGATCCAGCTGAAGCAATCAAATTACACAGAAAAAAAAGTAGGATAACAAATGAAAGTAATTAATTAAATTAACTATATTCTGAATATTGAGATAAATAGTAGGAGAAACCAAACTCAAAGTTTTATTAATTAGAGGTATGTATTAAGGACCAGAAATTTCCTTTGGGAAGGAAACAAAAAGGGGCTGGGATTTACATGTTCATATACACTCCATACAAGATCTTGGATCATCTGCCCTACCAAAGTACCAACCTTAAGTGCACAGTTTTGTTTTCACTAACTTAAAATCCGAAAACCTGGCACTTATAGAACACCTCTGGATACCCATCCATCGTCCGATTCTTAACCCTAAATCCTGAACCCGAAACCATAAAAGCGTCACACCCCTACATAAAAAATGCTTCTGCTATAGCTGCAGATTGATCATCTCAGCTCATGAGTGATTCATAACTTTGCTAATCTTGAAGCATAAAAAAGAGAGGAGGTGTCTTGAGCTCTCAAGAAACAAGGAGATTTTTGTTCCTTGTGGCACACAGCTGTGGTGCAGGGAGCTTTGAGATTCGTGCAGCGGCAGGGGGAGGGCGCGCGAAGCTTTCACGAGGCGTGCATCTGGTCGAGGAGGATGACGACGGCCATGGCGAGCGCCGGCTCGAAGCCCGGCTCCACCACCAGCCGGAACACGTCCGGGCCCACGGCGGCCTCCTTACTGCACACCGCCGCCACGCGCCGCCGCTGCTCGCCGGCGCTGGCGGAGGCGAACACGTCGAGGCAGCGGGCGGCGTACGAGCCCTCCACGTCGTACCGGCAGGCGCCGCTCGGCGCGGTCGCCGATCCGCCGCCGGCGGCGGCGGACGACGACGCGCGCGCCGGCGACAGGTGGGCGAGGGACTTGGTGGGGCGCAGGCTGACGTGGCGCCGCGCCGTGAACCTCTTCGGCCCCGGCGCCGCCGGCGACGCCGCGTCGCCGTCGTAGATGAGCCACTCGTCCGCGAAGCTCAGCTTCTGCAAAAGACGGACCACACGAGAACATCAGCATCTGCGGCGGCCGGCCATGGCCATGGCCATGGGCACCAAAAAACCAGAGCAAGAATTCAGAGACCACATACCTTGCGGCGGATGGTGAGGAGGGCGCGGCCGTCGGCGTCCATGAGCACGACCTCCCTCGGCGACCCCCCGGCGTAGCTCTCGACGCGGAACACGAGGTTCCCCTTGCCGTCGAACACCGTGAACCCCTTCCCGTTGAACAGCAGCGACCGCCGCCACACCGTCAGCGACACCGCCTCCCCCTTCTCCTCCTCCACCACCGCCGGCGCCACCACCGCGACGTTGGGGTGCACCTTGGTCATGGCCGCTCGCTCTGCGGCGCGGCGGAGCAGGGGAGGTCAAGGACAAGGAGAGGAGAAGGCGAAGCGAGAAGAGGAGACGAGTGGTGATGAGAAGAGGCAATAGTGTGGCGCGTTGGATTTATAGGTGGGGGAGGCGCGTGGACGGAAATGCCCCTGCGTGTTTGGGGTAATTACGGGGCATGCCATGATAGAGATTAGTGGCCTCTTTTTGCTAACTGCGAGCATCAAAAGGTCAAACCTGAAAAGGGGTGGTTAATGGGTGGTGTCACCACTAGGCTAGTATTATTAATTAATGAATAGTTCACTTCGAGGTTGATAATTTTGTTTTCACCTGCACGTACATGTCACCTTGCACAAAGTATATAAATATACTAAAATTAACATTTCACCTAACATGTGCATGGTATAGCAGATGCTTATATAAAATGTACAGTTACAAAAAGGATTTAATCTAAGCAAGAGGTTAATATCTTGTGGCTTCAATTTTCCCTAAATATGTGTGTTTACTTTTTTCACAATTTTTCCAAACAGTTCAAGGGGTTCTCCTTTATTGTGGAGGGCTATATGTATATATATTCTTCTTGGTGATGCCTTTTAATTTGTTGCCTCTTTATGTGGTAGGCACAGACTTGGAAAGGAGTGGAGGGAACAGATGGTTGTTTCTGTTTCTTGCCTTCTCCATTTAGAGGTTTTAAAGATATTTAGATTTTACACGTATGTGCTAGTATATATATTTCCAATACTTGTGCAATTATCTTTAATATTTATAGTACATCATATCTTGATTATCTGGAAGTTAATTTTTGTCCCGGGGAGAAAAGGAGAGATTTTTTTTCTAGTCTGAAATTCTCCAAGTTAATTTCATATTGGACATGTGCGGTCGCACACTCTATCTCTCTCAAAAGAGACAGTATTTCCTTTTTGGCAATTATATAAGAGATGCACGCAGCCACAAACACACCCTTTAAGACATCCTCAAGAGATAGAAATCACTACAAATCACACAATATTCTATTTAAAGCATAATCTAGTCACGGGCTCACAGCAGGTGCTCTTTTTTTAAAAAAAAAAGAAAAGAAAAGAAAAAGGAAATCAGTTTGTATATTCCTCTATATTATTGCAATATATCCATCTGAATTTAGCATTAATAAATAATTATATCAAACAGGCCTAACTGGTAAGTTAATGATTTGATTTTTTTTTGTCATATATAGCGACCTAGCTAGGCAGCTACATGACATTGGCCTGAAAGCGTTGTTTTGCTACTTTGGCAACGTGGCCTGGAAAAAAAAAGACAATCTTTGCAGTAAGGTGATGGAAGTTTGTTTGCTTGTTTTTGTTTTAATAAAAAATAATCTTTTTCCTGTTAGGATCGATAAAAGGTACGTAATTACCTAGCTATGTAATTAATGTACATAATGCCATATCATTGATGCTTTAAACATATATATAAAAAATGGCACAAATCATTACTAAAAAATTGTGTGCCTCTTTCAAGTTATCATCAAATTTTGTACACCCACGCTCTTGGAACCCACATCAAACACGGCCGACCTCCCAAAAAAAAGAACTAATGCAACTAGAGAGGTCGTATGTGGGTAATATATCCATACACATTAATTTAAGTACGGTTTTTTGGTAGCATATGTAAAAATATATTTCTGTAGCGTAATAAATAACGGTGAACTATGCAGTGACTTTCTCGCTAATGTCTTAGAATTGCTTATACGGTGAACAGTCAAACATGTTTAAAAAGTCAATAGCGTTAAATATTTAGAGATGAAGGAAGTAGAATGTACATATGTGTATTTATAAGACGAGTGAATATATGGTCATCTACGCTGTTTGTACTGTACTTAAAAAATATCTTTTGCTTGTTCCAAAGATTTTCTTTTCTTCAAAACGATGTTACCATCAATAGAGCAAAAAATCTATACTACCGGCGCATAGCAGCGGCTTCAACCTTTCACGCATGGTCAAACACACGATAGATGGTGCTCCATATATAGTAGACCCAATTCCTGGCCGAGAGAGAGCCACGTGGGACGCGGTAAACACCCAATTAGTGGTGTAAATTAGGAAGGGAGGTGTTAATTAACTAATTAATTAATTAAATTAAGATTAGCCGATCGAGTAGCTCGATCATATGGCTGCAAGGCCCTCGTAGCTTGGGCGGCTCAAGCTGGGGCCCAAACCCGGTCATAGTTAGATTAATTAAAACGACTCCTAATCAGTTGATTAATTAATTAATTAATTAATTATAACCATGGCTATGATATCTTTATCTGGCTCCTCTGGGCCGGCTTAGATCACCATCACATTAGATTTAATCATCAGGATTTGTTAGGAAATCATTTGCCGTCGACATCTCGGCGTGATGGGAAGAAGCTAGCTATGTAAGCTCCGGTCACTGCTTTGGCTGGTCCTTGCATTGATCCCTTCTCCTTGATAATCTCTGCAATAATTGTCGGTTTGTGTGCTAATGACGTTGGTTGGTGGTTGTTAATTACTTGGGTGTGCAATGGACCCAATTAATTGGTAATTAATTAGTCAACAAGGAGCGTTGCTACTGTGGAGTAATTTGTTTCTTCTCATTTCAGATTTTTTTTAATTGTTCTGGAGGACATTAATTAATTATAGATCTAGCCAGCAAATGCAAGCCATGGTGCATGCATGAGGTGTGTTTTGCTTGTAATATTATTCAATCATGTTATTTGTTGTTTGTGGTGGTGATTGAAACCTAGGCTGGAATTTCATGACGTGGCTTTGGAAATCTTGTTTTTAAAGTTTGGCAGCTTGGAAATTTCTTATTGTCATAATGGTTTCTAAACTTTGTCTCTCGTGGTGGTTGTCATAACTTTACTGCTGGCAACGAGAAAACCCTGAAAAATATGAGCCATCTTTGGTCTTCATATATGACTTTGAAAATTAATTTATACTAAAAATCTATAAAACCATGCATAAAAAATATAATATTGTGAGTGTAACTTTTGAGGAAAATATAGACATATCCAAAATAATATGTTTTCATAACCGTAGGGAGTAGAGATGTACAGTTTTATATAAGTAATATACTTAACATTTGCGCTTTATTTTAATTTATAATTAGTAAAATATATAAGTATTCTTTATTAATTAACAAAAATATTGAGTATTTTATCTGTTCGTTTGGAAAATAGAAACTTCCTATCCTCTTTCTCGAGGTAAATCTTTCTCGAGGTTTTACCTCAAAAAAGGTAGTATTTCTTTTGTTCATCTGGAAGAGATTTGCACTTTATCTATTGAATATGTAATTATATTTTGTGGATGAACAATATCTAATACTAACCGAGCAGATGGCGCACTAATTCACAGTATTCAAGTAAAATATGTTTTTACGTCACTGTTTCCAACAGGTAAAAAAAATGTTTTTTCGTTTCATTCATCGTTGCCCTAGTTATTCAAACTAGCTTGCTTGTCTAGCTTGGCGATTTTTTTTCTCGAGCGCTTGGCTATTTTTTTTAAAAGGAAAAGAGTTCAGGATTGATGCTATTTTTTTTCTTTTTTGCTATTACGATTATGATAATTCTATTGCCATCATATATCTGCCGTACTGTAAGAGAAGATAATCAGAAGCAAAATTTGTTTAGTGTATGGTGGGAAATATGTTGTTATATATATCCTCGAAAATTTCCAACTCATGTAGTGAGCAAACAGATCAACATGTACCTACAAGTCTAATAAGCCTATTATCACAATATCTTTTTGTCAGCATACATATCACAAAAGTGCTGCCTTTTGTTCTCTCGACATATCCTCTGATGGACCATCTGTCCCCTACTTTTCTGAAGGATATCCTTTATCTACTGTAGAGCATGCAGAAAATTAAACTAATTAAACAAAACAAAGATATTAACATCCAGCATCATCAGCAGCAACCAGCAGCAACCAGCAGATAAGGGAGAGAGATCGATCGAGAGATCAGAGAGGAACAGAATTGATGCAATAATGCAGCGGCGTATCACGCTCGAAGTTTGGAAGCAACAAACAGATAGGGTGACCCATGTCATTAATTTTAGGCCATTTGGCAGTCTACAAGAGAGAGGCCTCTGACGACCGAAACTGCAAAAGGTAGTAGTAGATTCCAGCTTTTTGGGAAGAAGAGCCAAACGGGTAATAGGATTGTGACATGCACTAACACGTCGCACAAGGAGTATGGTTAATTTGGTTATGGGCATCCATGGCACATGGATTATATTCAACGAGTTTGTGGCAAACCACGCATGGAGCTCTCCTTTCCGGCCTTGCAGAAAAAGTTGTGGAAGAGAAAGACAGCGATCGAGAATGATGAAATGAAGAATTGGAGATTATGCGTCTTCACGAAGGAATGGAAAAAAAAAAGGAAGGCATTGAGACCGACAGGGAGTGAACCTCCAATTAATGTATCTCATACGGTAGAGCATTTGAGTCCAGGCGTGAACAATGATGTGATGTATAAGTTTTGTGAGAATATTGCCTTGTACTCCCTCCGTCCCATCTTAAGTGCAACCATAAATTTCCATGCTCAACTTTAATTGTCCGTCTTATTTGAAAATTTTTTATAATTAGTATTTTTGTTGTTATAAGATGATAAAACATAAATAGTAATTTACTAGTGACTTATGCTTTTATTTTTTTTAAAAAAATTTAAATAAGACGAACAATCAAAATTAGACACGAAAAACCATAACTGCACTTAAAATGGAACTGAGGGAGTAGAATTTTTGACGAGGTAAAAGTACGCCAGAGAGAGTGGATAGAGAAGTAAGCCATCACTTGGGCAGGAATTAGGCTGTGTTTGAGGAGAAGGAAATAGAGAAGATTGGGAAGATATGCAAAACGAGGTGAGCCATTAGCGCATGATTAATTGAGTATTAACTATTTTAAACTTCAAAAATGGATTAATATAATTTTTTAAAGCAACTTTCCTATAGAAAATTTTTGCGAAAACGCACCGTTTAGTAGTTTGAAAAGCGTGCGCACGGAAAACAAGGTACAATCTCCCCTATCTCCCCTGAAAGAACGCAACCTTAGTCTTTGTACTCCGATCCCTTAATTATTTAGTATGAGATATTTTATGTTTATTTTAA